ACGTTCCTCGCTATTCTCCTCAATCTCGTAAATATTCAGATCGGTTTAGTTTCTATTAACTCTTGATATTTGACTGATTTTTGTTCTTTCTTAGCTTTAATCCAACTCTATTTCTAAGCCTATCTCCTACAAGAAGGCTGTTCTTGATTCATTTTGGAAAAAGGCTATGGATGATGCACAAAATCATCACCTTAATTTTTCTGAAGAATATTCCTTTTTTTCCATTCCTTCTACTTCTAACTCATCCAATAAATCTGACCTAATTTATATTGACCCTTTCCCTAATGGTATTTCTAGTGATTCTTATATTCATAACATGCTCACTTCCGACATTCACTCTTCACCTTAGTTTTTCCTTTTTCTTGGTTGTGCCTCCTCCTATTGTTCACACCTATTCTTGCAAGAATAAGTATAACTCCTCCACCTCTCTTGGTTGTATCTCCACTAACTTTTGATTATGTGGATCCTCTCTCTTCTCTCTATCCTAAGCACATTCATAAGTATCCTAATCGCGTTGGCTTTTCTCACACTTGTTATTCCTTTAGTTTCTGTTTATTTTTATCTTCTATTAACTTTCTATCCAAGTCGACCTCCTATAAGGAGGCTACTATTGATCCTATTTGGCAAGAGACTATGAATGAAGAACTTTCAGTGTTGCATAAAACCTATCTACTCGTAAGCGTGCTATTGACTGTCAATAAAACTACGGTTCATGGTTTTGTTGAAAGACATAATTCTAGATCAATTGCCAAGGATTTTGGAAAGGAATATGGAATTGATTATGCAAAAATATTTAGACCTATTGCAAAGGTTACCACCGTTCGGAGCAGTTATGCACCATTGGAAACTATCTTAAATCAATGTCCAAAATGCTTTTCTAAACGGTGATTTAACCGAAGAGATTTATATGGTTCCTCCACTTGGTCGCCCTTCTGGTAAGGTGTGTGTTAAATAACCATCTACTCCAAAAAATTAAGCTATTAGAAAGGGTGTAACGTAAGTATTTATACTTCAACACACTCCCTCATGTGTAGGCTAAATTTTGGGTCTAGCACATGAAATTTTTTTTAATAATTAAGGTGACAGTGATATTCGAACACAAGACCTCCTACTTTGATACTATGTTAAACAACTACTCCAAAAACTTAACATGTTGGAGAGCGTGTAACTTAAGTATTTTAGTGATAATAATTATGATCTTTTTTTTCGTTCTACTTCCGCTGGTCAGAATGTTCTTCTCTTATATGTTGATGCTGTAGTTATTACTAGGATGATCATGAGGGTATCTTAGTTTTGAAGGCAGTTTGATATAAAACATCTTGGTCTTCTTCGCTATTTTTTGGGCATTAAAGTGGCTTTGTCACCTAAGAGTTATCTACTTTCTCAGTCAACGTATGCAACCGATGTCATCCACAAGGCTTAATTAATAGATTATNAAAACATCTTGGTCTTCTTCGCTATTTTTTGGGCATTAAAGTGGCTTTGTCACCTAAGAGTTATCTTCTTTCTCAGTCAACGTATGCAACCGATGTCATCCACAAGGCTTAATTAATAGATTATCGGGCTATTAAGACTCTTGTCGAGCTTAATGCACATTACACTTCTGGTCATAGTATCCCTTTGGCTGATCCAACTTTGTCTTAGGTTCTTGTTGGTAGTTTGGTTTACCTCACTATTATACGACCTAATATTACTTATTTTATTCATGTTGTGAGTCAATTTGTTTCTTCTCCGACTTCAGTTAACTAGGATGCAGGTCTATGTATTTTCTTTTATCTTCAAGGCACTTTATATCAGAGTTTGTTGTTCTCTACCACTTCTTTTGAGCCTCATGTTGTTTCTCATGCTGACTTGGCAAGTGATGCCATGGATCATAAATCCATAATTGGTTTTAGTGTCTTTCTAGACAATTCCCTAATTTAATGGAGAAACAACAAATAGACCATTAGGGGTATTTATTCTTTCTCTTGGAGTAGAATTTTATACATAATGTCGCTTGTACTAGTTTTTATCTTAATGGAATATTAGATTAGCAAACTTGTTTTCTTTTTCCTTTCTTCTTTGTATGTCGTTTCTTCTTTGCAAGTTTGATCTAGGCGTTCACTTTGGTGAGGAACAGAGAATAAATTCAACTTCCTTTTTAGTTGATTGGAAGGCAATTTGTTCTCCATGGGAAAGTGGGTGTTGAGGCACTCTTATGAGGGGAAAGAGGTTCCTACTCATCTTAGGAAGGGGATTCTCTTTCTAGTTTTTCTTTCAATTTCCATTGGGTTCTATCACCTGATTTTGTGCAGAGCTTTCAATTGAGGTTTATATGGAGGTGTCTTTGCAAGTTTGATCTAGGCGTTCACTTTGGTGAGGAACAGAGAATAAATTCAACTTCCTTTTTAGTTGATTGGAAGGCAATTTGTTCTCCATGGGAAAGTGGGTGTTGAGGCACTCTTATGAGGGGAAAGAGGTTCCTACTCATCTTAGGAAGGGGATTCTCTTTCTAGTTTTTCTTTCAATTTCCATTGGGTTCTATCACCTGATTTTGTGCAGAGCTTTCAATTGAGGTTTATATGGAGGTGTCTTTGCAAGTTTGATCTAGGCGTTCACTTTGGTGAGGAACAGAGAATAAATTCAACTTCCTTTTTAGTTGATTGGAAGGCAATTTGTTCTCCATGGGAAAGTGGGTGTTGAGGCACTCTTATGAGGGGAAAGAGGTTCCTACTCATCTTAGGAAGGGGATTCTCTTTCTAGTTTTTCTTTCAATTTCCATTGGGTTCTATCACCTGATTTTGTGCAGAGCTTTCAATTGAGGTTTATATGGAGGTGTCTTTGCAAGTTTGATCTAGGCGTTCACTTTGGTGAGGAACAGAGAATAAATTCAACTTCCTTTTTAGTTGATTGGAAGGCAATTTGTTCTCCATGGGAAAGTGGGTGTTGAGGCACTCTAATGAGGGGAAAGAGGTTCCTACTCATCTTAGGAAGGGGATTCTCTTTCTAGTTTTTCTTTCAATTTCCATTGGGTTCTATCACCTGATTTTGTGCAGAGCTTTCAATTGAGGTTTATATGGAGGTGTCTTTGCAAGTTTGATCTAGGCGTTCACTTTGGTGAGGAACAGAGAATAAATTCAACTTCCTTTTTAGTTGATTGGAAGGCAATTTGTTCTCCATGGGAAAGTGGGTGTTGAGGCACTCTAATGAGGGGAAAGAGGTTCCTACTCATCTTAGGAAGGGGATTCTCTTTCTAGTTTTTCTTTCAATTTCCATTGGGTTCTATCACCTGATTTTGTGCAGAGCTTTCAATTGAGGTTTATATGGAGGTGACTTGCTCTTATATCCCAAGCATGAACTCCAGTTGCTGCCCTCTTTCTTGGTACTTCTGATGGATTCCTATTTACTAATGGAAATCTTCTGAAAACAATATTTGCAGCTGAGATGTGGAATGCACCCAATTTAGCACACAACTATGACATATCTAATTTCTGGAGGGATCTCACTACATTGGCATCCTCCTTTTTTAGTTAAATTTGGAATTACATCAATACAGAAGCGGTCCGTAAAATGCTGCATGCACGACAAAAAAGTCAGCAGCTTTACCTCAGAACGCAAGGTATGAAAGTACCCATTTAAAGCAAATTTGGAAGCAGAGTATATGGCCTGCCCTGGTGCAGGTGTCTTTCCTGCAGCACTGCTCATCTGCATATAAAAAGGAATCAAATAGGAAAAAGACCAAAAGACAGCATTGTACTCAACTATATGCAAACATTAACCTACCCTCCATTAACATCATCCAATATTTAAGAAGCTAATGAACAGGGTATATCCGAGTTCAGTCCAAGCTTACATACCAAAACCAATCAACTACTTCTTTTTGATCTGGGGAAAGAAGTTGAAAAGAAAAAAAGACAAAGGATCGTCTACGCAATGGATTGTGTCAAGGTCCATTCGGAGTGAGGTCGTTGATTTGCAGGTCCAATTGTCAAAATATTTGGTGAAAGCCCAGCCAAACCAAAATATGCATTAAGTAACCCTCTATGGTTTTGTCTATGAAAATGAGCAAACACTTGCAAGCAACGATAACATTGTGATGGGGATCGTGTAGAAATTAGATAGATATTATAAATTAATTATGATAATTATTTAGATACTTTTAATATTTATCTTTTAAGTAATTTCTTTTAACTTTTAAGAGTTTAATTTTCATTTTGATTATTTATTTATTGTAGGGTTTGTGATCTCCTTATATATATAGGATTTGTGAACTCCTTATATAGGGGATACATATTTGTTGTGAGACTAGACTTTGATTATTGATTATTGATTATTGATATTGAATCCTGATATTGCTTCTTTCTTAAATTCTCTCTCTATTCTCATCTCCTTCTTCTTCTCTTTCTCATCCCTAATTCTTCCCTAATACGATCTATATCAATTTAGTATCAGAACTAATACAATCTACATCAATTTGGTATCAGAGCTAGTACGATCTACATCAATTTGGTATTAGAATCTAATCTCAATTCAACATCGCTGCTGCCAATCATCTTTAATTAGTTGTTTGTTGCTGTTCACCGTAATCGTTGAGCCCTAATTGTCGAACATCCCTTCATCAGTGACAAACCCACCCAACAGATTCTTACTATTCATCGTCCTTGTTCCAGCAGAACCAGCANTAGAATCTAATCTCAATTCAACATCGCTGCTGCCAATCATCTTTAATTAGTTGTTTGTTGCGTTCACCGTAATCGTTGAGCCCTAATTGTCGAACATCCCTTCATCAGTGACAAACCCACCCAACAGATTCTTACTATTCATCGTCCTTGTTCCAGCAGAACCAGCAAAAAAAAAAATAGAGTTGTAAATCGGAGATCTGAGACAGAGTTGTGTACTATTCACGGAGACAAAGTTGTGTAGGAGATCGGAGACAGAGTTGTAAATCAGAGATAAAAAAACAAAAAAAAAACATAGTTGTGCACTATTCACACGCACAGTAAATCGGAGACCTTCGTTGGGTTTATCGTTGTCAGTAATCGCCGATGACCTTCAGAGTTGTTGTTTTTCGATCATCATCGTAGTCGCTGTGCTCCGTCTGAAAATTTGTGAGATTGGTTATTGAGTGAAGTCCATCGTTAAGGAAGAAGACCCTAGAAAGTTCCAGAATTACAGGAACCTCCCCATAAGTTTTAAAAAATTTCAAAATTACCCCCAGAATTTTCAAAAATTATAGAAATATCATCTATAAGTACCATAATTGAAGAAACATCCCGGCAGATCCAAAAAATTGCAAAATCATCCCCCAGCAAATTTCAAAATTTCATCATAACAAAGCTTGATTATGGTATGCATTCTCCCATAGAAATTTGAGACTAATATTTTTATTCATTGGGAAATTAGAGAGTTTGCAAAGGGTCCAAAACACATTTTCTTCTATTTAAACTTTCTTGAAATTGTCAATTGNGGGTCCAAAACACATTTTCTTCTATTTAAACTTTATTGAAATTGTCAATTGCATTCTTAAATTTGTTCTTATACCATTCTCATCTTTCAAGAGTCACTCATGAGTTCCTCTAATACACATGTTTCAAGAGTCTCTCGTCGAGGTCATCATCATAGGAAGACTAGGGATGTTTTACATGGAGTCAACCTATATGACCACACTAGTCAAAGATCCTTTTATATTTAGTGGCACTTTAAATCCTTTTGAATTTTTGGATTGGTTAGCTAATTTAGAAGAATATTTTGATCAATGCTCTAATACCAAGTAAGATTTTACAATAATTAGGGTTAGGAAAGAGAAGAATAAGAAAAAGACAAAGAAGATATTATTAGAATAGAATAGTGTGTCAGGTTAGAGAACTAAACCAACTTTACCGGGGAATCACAATTTACACCCAAAAAGATTTAAGAATTCTTCCTTTGCACCCTCAAAAATTAAATTTTTCACATTGCACTCTCTATATATTAAAAGTGCTACAATGTAGCCATTCTGTTAGCTTTTGTTGCTTATTTTGTCAAAAATCACCGTATTGACGTTGATGGAATGAGCAACACAAGCTAAAACAAGGGCCACACTGTAACACTTTTAATACTGTGAGGGTACGACTAGGGAAATTTAATCATTGAGGGTGCAAAGTGAACTTTTTAAAATCTTTTGGGGTGCATAGTGTAATTCGCCCCATTTTTCATACATAGTCAGAAAATACTAAACTACCCTTAAATTTTCCACATTGCACTAAACTTTTTTAAATCCAATTGTTTCATTATGGTCTTTTCCAAAACATTACATTCCAACATTTGACCCTTTACTATTGATTCCCAAACATGGGTGTTAAACTTGTAGTTGCTAAGTGCAATGGATATTGTGACTAATGATTTCGATGAGAATCTCTAGCGAGCAACATTGGGGATGTGTCAACTTCAAACCGTTTTACAATAGCTTAGATTGGGCTCAATGTTACATCAACAGCTGAAATTTTCAGGCGAGAATGGAGGACAGCAAACTGGCACTATTTTTCTTTTTTTGTTAAATATTGAGGTTACATCTATGATACAAAAGCAAAGACAAGGAAGGAACAGTGGCGAAAGCACGTTCAGTTGAACATGATCAAAAGAAGCGGCAACTATGGATCAAATTTAGGCTCTGATACTACCTTGAAAACATAAATCAACTTTGCAAAATAACAGAAAAGAAAAGAAGAGAAATCTGCCCTCTCTCTAAAATTCCATCATATTGAAAAATAAGTACGAGACAACAAAAAGAAAAATTAAACTTCCCCCAATGGAATAGGCAAAGATAAAAGATACAATCTTAACAAATTCTACATACCACAACAAAATGTCCCCTCCCTCTCTTCAGCATGAAAGTTGCCAGCAGCCGTGTAAGAGATATTGGCCCCAGAACATTTACAGCAAATGTGGCCTACATGCATAGCATAGTAGTGATACGCTTACTTACCTTAAAATCATTCAAAGAAAACACAACTAATTGAATCAACAACAATTGCATATTTATGTCTGAATAACTAGCCTTCTATCAGGGCAGTGTGTGGTTTTTACTCTTTACAGACTAAAAGGCAGCCCAAAATTCTCAGCAGATAAGATTCAGACTGGAACTTAAGTGATCCAGCTACGATCTCCCAAGTAATAACTTCTTTCCAGCATAACTATTGGAGAGAAATTGAATTGTCAATATCTTCTTTTATTCTGAATATGCATATGATTATTTATGACTGTACTAATATCATTATTGTGACTGATTAACATCATCAAACATATATTGGATTATTTAAGTAGAACAAGAAAAATAGTACAGCACGAAGGGAAAAGAAAGATACCCTTCCATCATAGGTGTTGTTTCGGGAGGGAAAATCTGATGTGGAGCCTCACAAATATACTCGTGTAGCAATAGACACTTTACCTAGACAGCGTGAATAGGTTTTTTAATTTTGAGTGCAATTGATTACCAATTAAAACCTAATTGACCACAATTATCGCTTCTCAATCAAATATTAACAATTAATGATGAGAACCCCTTTCAATCACCATGATTCCTCAAACCCACGAAGTTTGATGTTAATTAATATTCAATTAATTCACACAAACACTCAACCTCACGGGTGTCCCAAAACCCTAAGCCAATGCACAACTATGATCAATTTATATGTCAAGCATTCAAATCATCAAACACATAATATGTGTGTGTGCAAATATAATCACAAGTATATATGTAAACAAACAATATGAACACAAGCAATTTGTTGACGTGGGAAACCGTCCCAAGAAAAACCACGGGAACCTTCTCGGTTCACCAAAACCTAATCCACTACTTAAAAAGTCAACATACAAGTATTCGAGTTATATATCTCAACCAATATCATGGCTAGATGCTCCTTTCCTTGTCTCTCTGCCAAAGACCCTCTTTCGACGTCTTGCGTAACTTCACTTAGACTACCCGCGGCACGGTTCGTTTAAGTCTCGAATAATCATGGGCATGCCAATGATTCCCAATATATACACACCAATGGGTTTGTAAGACCATCAAAATCTTCAACACAAATTTGTGAGGTTGGGTAGAATCTTTAGTGGTAGTCTTGGATATTAGGGATTTAGGTTAGTGAGAATATGATCTAAGCTAACCTTAACCTAACTGCGAGAAAAGCTCTCTTTATTTATANAACAAATTTGTGAGGTTGGGTAGAATCTTTAGTGGTAGTCTTGGATATTAGGGATTTAGGTTAGTGGTGGAAGCTAACCTAAATCTCAGAATATGATCTAAGCTAACCTTAACCTAACTGCGAGAAAAGCTCTCTTTATTTATAGGTCCAAAATAAAGATAGTCTTGGTAAACAAGAAAACTCAAATTCGCGAATGACCACCCACTTCGGTGGGAGTAAGGCGGTTGTTGTTAGAATGAAAATCATGTTTCAATCCTAACCAGGGACACTGACCATTGTACTCCTCCGTGGCCCTTTTTCATTTTATTCTCTAAATTATAAAGATACAACTCTAGCGAGGGCTAGCGAGTAAACAGTGGTACCCGACCGATTTGTTAAAGCATAAAACCAAATAGCACTAAAGGGTGTTCCTCAAGTGGGGTCCAATAATGACTCAATCTATGTTTTCAAAAGACAATTATTTAAAAAATCTTTTCTTTTTAAAACATCTAGGAGTCATACTTGGATTGGTTCTAACTCCACTTTTATCCTAATCATTTTAAGTTCAAATAACTAAAGGTTCAACTTAGGTGTGTAGGTCATTATTTTTGTCCGAAGCATAAAGGAGCATACGGAGTGTGAATGATGTTGCTTTGATATTTGATCTATCCCTTCAATGATGCTTTCGAATCTTCAACTTGATAGCATCATGACCATAAAAAATGTTGAGATTTACAATAAACTCTACGAAATTAGTCAATTACAATATGTGATCCAAGAATCGTCACAAAATTCACAAAGTAAAATTAATATTAAAACCCACAAACCAACAAAACAAATTATAAATCTAATCTCAACAATCATGCACACATCCTAAATCTCTATCTATGTATAAGATCTACTTCTTTAGACGAAGTTTGAAGATCATAGTCCCGCACATCACCATTCATCGTAAAAAGCATCACATGTTCGAGAAATACACAACATAATCACAAGTTTAGAAATCATCAAGTTAAGCATAGGACATATATGTATACATCATGCAAGTACAAACATATAACATATTTAAGAACTAAATTGCCTATTATGCTTGAGAACCTATTGATTTATCAATTTGAATCACTTCAAGTTCTCTCCCTTAGTATTCACAAATAAAATAACAACTGTAAAATCAAACAAATGTAAAATAGGTGACTTCATGCCAAGTTTGTAAATTTACTCTCCCTAATTATTTAAACAAACTCTCCCTTTCTTTTTTCACATGCAACATATCTAGCTCAGTTAAGAGGAAATCACCCCGATTCCTCTCCTATACACCTAAAAAATTCTCTTCATTTTTGTCACAAATGTTAACCCAAGTACAACATGTAACAAACACGGTATAGAATCAAGTTACCCAACATATCCTTTCATATTTGTTATAAATGTCAACCCAATGAAAACATATAACAAGCATGACATAGAATCATAGTATAGTAAGAAGGTATGAATGCAAATCAATTAGCAACATTATGCTCATAAAGTAAAAAGAGACAAACAAAACATATAACTCAAAGTAAAATATGATAAGAACATCAAGATTAGGACTAAGAGTGCGTCACAACAAAAGAAAAAATTAACTAAACAAATAAAAAGTCAATAACAAAAATAGAGTACTTCAGTACATGCCATAAATGAGTAAAACACACTCAACTCTTTCATATGACATAGACTAAAAGTCTCTAAGGAATAGCTCAAATGGATGCATCTCCACCATCATGTCGAGGCAACTCTGTATATGAATCTGTCTCATCTAGTACTGGTTCCCCTATAATCTACTTACCTTTGATCAATCAGCGTAGTCGACCAACTTTCCTAGTTAAGAGATCCAAAGACAACCTGTTGAGCAATCTTCATACTCGCAATCCAACCACCCAACGTAACTAGTCACTGTGAAGTAAGATGATAATGCTCCTCTCTACACTACTACATACCCACAAGCATCAATACCAACGATGCTAATTGAGCAGCCAGAATGTTTGAATTGGGCTCACATGGTGGTGGTGGTGGTGGTGGTGGTGATGGTGGTGTCCGAGACATACTAGTCACCGGTGGATCTCCAATAGTTTCTCCTCTCTCNCCGATGCTAATTGAGCAGCCAGAATGTTTGAATTGGGCTCACATGGTGGTGGTGGTGGTGTCCGAGACATACTAGTCACCGGTGGATCTCCAATAGTTTCTCCTCTCTCCTCAACATAGTCAATTTGGGTATTAACTTCATAGAGCTCTTATTCAAAGGCCTTATGGGATTCTGCAACTGGTCACAATGAAAACTACAAAACCTTTCCCTTGGTGAATACGAGTAGTCAGTGATTCAAAAGGCAAAAGATCTGATACTCTTCCCTCTAAAAAAGCTCTCCAAATGTACCCAAAAATCATCAACAGCAAATCAAGGCCAAGCCCTTTTGCTATAGCATAAAACATATGAGCTTTCTAAATAGTGAAATCTGAGATATGGATATTTGGCTCTATGTTGGAGTTGGCTATGAGATTAAGAATCTTGTACTCTGAGGTCAAAGATTTTTGCAAGAATTTTAATGTGACCTAGTGTTCAAGATGGTCTATACCGTACAGTTCAGTAGCAACTACATGGAGACGAGGCAATAGGTCTACTAGACTCACACTAAGGTAATCACGCTCTATCCTAGGTAAGCCAAGTGTAGTAGCAATGAGATTTGCAAAACACATAAACTCAATACCTGTAATGTATGTGGCTAAGTGGTCAGCAGACTCAGCGCAAGGATCGGGATCACAAATATGGGCATAAACTCTCTTACAATTCTATTATCTAATGTTATGGGGTCATTGAACATCCAAGTCCACCCACAATTGGTTAGANGTAATGTATGTGGCTAAGTGGTCAGCAGACTCAGCGCAAGGATCGGGATCACAAATATGGGCATAAACTCTCTTACAATGCTATTATCTAATGTTATGGGGTCATTGAACATCCAAGTCCACCCACAATTGGTTAGATTAATAACAATCGAAAAATTTACCTCCACGGTGTTTATTTCCTATTCAATCAACATTAGCCTGAGAGAAAATTCTCATCTGAATTTCTCAGCAAACTCTGGTGTTTGGAATCGAGTAGCTTCATTGAAACTCTGCTCGACTTCCTTATAAACATTCTCAACCCTAGGTTGTTTCTCTCTTCTTGGAGCCATCTCAATAGACACTCTTTGAATCTAGGTCTCACTCGTGTGAATTTGTAAATTGAATGATGAATCAACCTTAGATCTATATAGAATGTGTTTGGGAGAGCTTTGGGACCAAGGGCTAGGATATTGGGAGTAGGGGTGTCAAACGTATCGTGTTTGTGTGATCCACATGTCGTGTTATTCGTGTTGTTTTCGTGTCAAGACCAACAAAAAAAAAATCTATTTAGCGTATTCTGAGTATTAAAAATTAGTCTAAACTATTTATTATGCGTATTTAATAATCGTGTCAATTTTATAATCGTTCGTGTTGGTTTTGTATCAACGAGTCAGAGTTGACACCCCTAATTGAGAGGTTTGGAATGTGAATGAGAGGGTTTGGAATGCAATGGGTCTCTTAAAACTCGGTTTAAGACCCTGGCGGTCACTCGAGCGTGAGAAGCTCGATTGAGCGGTCTCTAAAACTTCTCAATCCGGATTTAGCTCAGTCTCAATCCCTCAATGAACCAACCCGGTCCCGGTATTCACTCGCTCATCCTATCCTTCAAACCTCAAATGCATACATGATGTATACACAACTTAAATGCAATTAGATGCACATGCATGGATGAATTTAGATTTCATGTAATGTAATTCTCAATTTAAACAATAAATGC